AGAGAAAGATATTTTCTGTTTTGAAATGAATAGTTAGTATATATTAAACAAAATGTGTTTTGGAAAAGAAAATTATCCATTTGGCCCAATTGTGTTTTGTAGGTGTGAGTCTGTGTTAAGTTTAGAAAAAGTATCTGGAATAATGGGTAAGCGGTTGTTAGCGATTGAAAAAAACTGTAATATTATATTATACAGAATGAATGTTTGAATACACATTATTTTATTATAAATCAATTTAAATGAAAATCGTTACTCAAGTTAATAATTAACCATTATTATTACGAGGATGCAGTTGTCGTGCATTAAAATAATTTAATGCACAGCTATCCATTACATATAAAATGTAAACAGTAAACAGTTCTGACAATGTGATTGTCACAGCTTTTTCATTGTCCTTCCATATGCCCTGCATTTCAGCTGGTGATTTCATCACAACCATCTCAGAGAGAAAAAAAAAACATTCTGATTTCCTTTCAGAATGAGTCTCTAAATGTATACACCCCCTCCTCTCATGCTTGAAAAAACACTCCTCTATCTTACAGCCACAGTCTGGGAAAGAGAGAATGTCAAGTTATTTTCCTCCCTCTGAAATGCAATGACATATTTCAATTGCACAGGTCACACTCTCATAGCCAGCATATTGCTTTGAGCATTTACCTCCTTCTCACATGGAGGGCAAATTTCAAACTGTCATAATGTGTGTCAGGCTGACTGTACAACTTGAAATTTGTGTAGTATTTCTTGTATAGTTCATGTCTATATTGTGTTCACTACAATCTCACACATCCTCTGGTATACTCAGAAAGTGTCATTGAGTTCCTCCTGTCTACATTGAGAGCCTGTGATGGTATAAACTCAAGTGGCCAGTTTGGTCATTCATCTTCATGATAGCCATTCACCCCTACAGGTGTCTTTGTGCTCGGCACGCTGGGAGAAATGTGCTGCTGGTGCTCACATCAAGCCTTATGTCTCACCTCAATGCTAGAGCGTGTCCGGACTGCCGACAGTTATTTCAGCTTTGCCTCATCCATTCCACTGCAGCCATACAAGCTCAAACCACACCTGCCTGTCTTTCTGCCCAATCTGTCAGGCATTAAGAGCTTTCAACAGCCCTGCTCATGGGCAGATACAGTTTTAATGGCTTCCAAAAGGATCATAATTGCAACCATTCAACAGAAACTCTTTCAGCGAAACCAGCACTTTACACGTTTCACTGATCCCCATATTTGACTATTTCCCTGCACGTGTAGTTTCAGTGCTCGCTTATTATTTGCCTCTGAAATCTTTACTGTCGTCATAGTGACTGCTATGTGACTCTGGCCTCTGTCTGACTGACCCATTAGGATCAGACTCGCTCTTTTCAAATCCCACTTGACATTTCACTCATGTCTTTTGAACAGACAGCAAATGAAATAAGGTGTAAATAGTAAAGAATGGGTTAGAAATAAATCTTACAGATTGCGTTAGAAACACACAATGCTGTCTCTTCTGAGTCATTCTGCCATTCTGTGGTTTATGACGCGGCATGTGTGACACTTCTCATATTTCTTTGTTTTTGCAGTGGTGACAAATCATTTGTCTTCCATTTAACATCTCTGGCAGCCCTTAATATGTTGCACAAATAGTTTGACAGATGTAAGCTATCAAAATCTTTCTAAAGGACAAGCACTCACAAATCAGGAATGAGCACAGTTCAAAATTTTAGAATTGTCTCTCTCTCTCAGTTCTATTGATTGATTTCCGTTACACAAGAGTAGATGTTAAAACTTCATGCTGATTTGTACTTGGCTTTCGCCAAGATGAGCACAAAATTTCAATTTGCCACACCCCACAGGATATTGAAGACCAAAATGGATAACAACAAGTGGAATTTATTGAATTAGTGAACGTGTGAATACTGTAATGTTTTAGAATGTGCGGTAAAATGAAAACACTCTGTTATTGTGTGTTGTAATTCGTGAAACAGGCCTGAAGGTTATAGACATGATGCAGACACAATATAGGACAGCCTTCAGAGCAAAAATTGCTTTTATAAGATTTATCAATGCTCTGCTGGAAGATATGATGATGACGCATCGAAGCTGTGTGAGGGAGATTGAGTGACAGGAAGTGTATTCTATTAATTTTATTAATTAATGTATGTATGCATAATTAAATGATGATAAAATACAATAATTAAAGCGACACTCCACCCATTTGCATTAAGATTTCCATTGTTAGAAACCCAGTCATACTATTGAATGGTCATGCAATTGAATGGAAAGACAAGGCCGTAGCCTGCCGCAAGCTTGGGAGTCCTTGAGGGACTTCTATAGTTCAGCCTCATCTTCACGTTATGACTTCTCAAGAAGGACCAAGAGAGTGAGAGAGCAAGAGGCTAAGAGGAACAGAGAGGACAAGCGAACAAGCTAAAAGGACAAGAGAGAGGGCTGATCTTGTGATCAGTGATTTTTAAAGGGTGAAGATGTCACACCCTCTGGAAGAGTGTAAATAAAGTCATGAATCAGACCAACATAGTTTATAAGAGAGAATGAAACATAGGCCAAACCACATAAAAACAAAATTATGAGATGGAAAATTAGATAGACGTTAAGACATTTATCACATGGTTATATATATAGAATATATCAGTCTTAATGTGCCTTGTAACAGGACACCAGGTTCTTGTAGGCTTTATTTCTGGGGAAAGTTTTATAGAACTTTGTTGGAAGAGTGAGTTTGTTGGATTCTTCATTAAATATAATGATTCATTTGTGTGTCTGATTGGTCCAGACATTACAGGCTCGAACAGGACGTTTCTGAATGTTTGGTTAACGTAATGTCACTTAGATCTAACTTTATATGAACTGGCAGGGTAACGTTAGAGTAACTTAGTGAGATGTACGATTCAATTTTACACTCACTTCTTCTGGAGGTGCAGCAGGGACATGAATAGTTGGTACCGATTCTTTTTTCAGGAGCAGCTTCTCAGCAAAACCAGCTTTACTGATCCTCATTTATAAAGCAGTCTGCGAAAAGATTTGTGAATCACGCAAACATGAAAGCATTGTCGTTGCTTGTTGGGATTATTCCCTTTGAAAACAAAACTCAGCCACTGCGTCTTCAGTGGTTCGGATTTAGGCACATCGAAATGACTGTTCGTTATTACCCCCAAGAACAGAACACTACAATCGCTTAGACGCCATTCTTCTCCAGTGTATGTTGACTGCTCGCTCAGGGCTGGGATGTGTTGAAACGCTGCTGTCAATCAACAATCGTGGGAGGGGCGTCCAACCGTGTGACGTCGAACAGCTCGATTTGAGGCAGGGAAAAACGTATAAGGAGATTAAACGAAAATACTGGATATATTATCATTATATGATGGTTGTGTACAGGCATCATTATATGGCCCCTTTAAACCTAACCTCACAGTAATGCTTCTGCATGTTCAGATTTTCCTTATACAATTTAGTAAAGCCATTGTTGTTGCCTGGTTCCCACAATGTTGGTGTTTAATATCCATGTTGGGACATTCATTCCTTCTCAATATGGGCAAAAGCTGATCCGCCCACACATACACTCGCAGTGTTCCAGTGATTAATGCTACAGGCAGAGATTGTGTCCCACAGACATCACCCCAGTGATGCGAGGCATCTGTCTGTGGTTAGCTGCATGAGTCTCCTCTTGCTTTTCATGTTTTGAATCACTATGGCTCTCTCTCTCTCTCTCTCTCTCTCTCTCTCTGTGTGTGTGTGTGTGTGTGTGTGTGTGTGTGTGTGTGCGTGTGTGAGTATCATCCGCACTGCACATTTGCTTTTCTACTTGAGTTTTGCTGTGTGACTCACCAAGATGATCTTGACCAAGTCAGAAAAGGTCAAGGTTAGCCAGTAAATTGGCTCTAAGCAATCCGCCCTCTTGCTAAGCTTATGATGCTCTCTCTCACTCTATCACTCAGTCTCTCTCTCTCTCTCTCTCTCTCTCTCTCTCTCTCTCTCTCTCTCTCTCTCTCTCTCTCTCTCTCTCTCTCTCTCTCTCTCTCTCTCTTTGTGCTTGCTGTTTTGATATCTGAGGAGGGGTTTGATGAGGTCTGGCCACTTTCAACCTTACAGCTCCTGGTATCAGTGACAGTACGATTACAAAGAACAGTTGTAAAGGAGTCATGCACTTCACCAACTACTATCCTTAAATCGGTCAATAGAAGAAAAACATCATAAACAACCCCACACTGAAAAAAAAAAGTATTCGGTTCTTAATCAATATATAATTTCTCCCAATCAAATATTTAAACAATTTTAAGATTTTTAGATTTCCTTTACCCTGTTGTCATTTTTTTAATATTTAAAACAGAAATCTAACATATTTAGTGAAGTTTATGCTTTAAAAAAGGAAAGATAATATGCCAATAGAATGTGGAAAATAATGAAGTAAAGATCTATCAAGGTCTCTTTTTCTCTTTGAACTAATATACATAATAAAATAGATATGTATCTTTAATAAACTTTTCTAAAATAATAAAGATAAATTATTATATATATATATATATATATATATATATATTTGTCATTTTAAGCTATTCTTACTATACATTTTTTCTATGAAACCTACTTAACAGATACTTGTGACAGAAAGAAGAAAAGAAAGAAAAAGACAGCAGTGTGTGTGTGACTTTGTTCGATACTCAAGGCCAGGAAAAAGTCCTGGTCTATTCACGTCTGTTTCCATGCTCATAACCCAATGAGAACAGGTGCGAACGTGTGATCCAACAGGAAGTCACATGTTTGAGTGTTCCAAAGCCCCTGAACAGCTGTCCCCCCCAGTCTTCCCTACAGAATGTGTGTCGGCATGCTTGGGGGCACTAAAACGGGGGCTGGTCTTTATGTAGCTTGAAGCCTGTGAGTATTTGTTGAGGCTAATATAAGGACAGACGCAAAGAGGGGTTATTTAAAAACACACAAACCCTTTGGCCTTCCATAGCTCAGAATAACACTGACCCTGCATGTGTGTTTGTGTGTTTTAAACAGGTGGAGATTGAAAAATTGGACTACCATCACTACCTCCCCCTGTTCTTTGATGGTCTGTGTGAGACAGTTCACCCCTATGAGTTCTTCGCTCGACAGGGCATCCATGACATGTTGGAGCACGGTGGCAGTAAGGTCCTTCCTGTTATTCCACAGGTCATCATACCCATCAAGAGTGAGTGGCACTAAAATGACACCTAGTCCCTTTCTAGTTCTAATTCCTGTCCAAAGTAACTCGTTCGTTTATTTATTTATTTATTTTTTGTTAGTCACAAAATCATTTAGTGGTCAATCTGTCCCACATACAGTAGTATGCACTTCATCAGATTTTAAGAAGAATAAAGCATTTAGAATCGAAAAAAAAAAGTATAAATAATACACCAGCGGATAAATAAATCTGGTTTATGTAATGGTGGTGAAGCAAACTTTGAAAAAAAAAAAATGCATATCAAAGCTGGAGTTTGGCCAAAGTCATGTGAAGGAAACAGCAATTTAAAGGAGAAAACAGTTTGATGAGAGCAAAATTGGCCATTAATGCTTTATTGTTTGCCAAGGGTTGTTGTGAAGGTGTTACAATTATGGAATTAAACTTACTGTTGTTATTTTTTTATTATTTACTGTAAAAGAAACACAAATGTTTTTGCAACAAAGCAAAAAGACCCCTTTTAAATTAATTTAATACCAAATTTTAAAACATTTGTCATTTTGAATGGATCAATGTTGGTTGCGGGAAGGCAGACGGAGACAAGGATATATTTCCAAACAAAGGTTATTTGTAATTAAACACAGGATGACAGAACAGGTAGCAACACACACACTAAATAAAACGGAGATTGTTCCACTGACTGAACAGATTGAACTTAAATAAAAACACAGATAACACTGATTTATAGATCACAGGTGATACAGATGATGATTAAACAGGTGACACAACTGAACTGATAATGACAGTAATCATGGATACGGAGGAGTGGCGGGAAAAGAACAAAGGAGAACAGGAACCAAGCAAAATACAAATTGAATGTCCAAACAAACACTGACACGTGACAGTGTGTTGTGTTTTTAATGGTTAATATTGGTTTGTTTTCCTTTTCATAAAAATGGTACTATATAATTCATTTTAAGAGCACAACTGGCCCTATTGTAAGCATAACAAAATAACACACTGCACTGACAAAATACACTTTTCTTTGCAATAGACTGTGAAAACTTTGGATATACTAGAAGGTCATGAATAGAAAAAAAGAATGAATTAGGTTAATTTTAAAAAAAGAAGAAGAAAAAAAACTGACCGTATACATACAGGAAAGGTCAAACTGAAGAGAGTGAAAACCAGAAGGTCGATGTTCTGCACTGGCCCGATCAAAGCCCCGATTCAAAAAATAAACGAGCTCTTGTGGGATGATTAAATAAAACAATCCTCCTTCTGCTTGACTGAAGTTTGAACTACAGTTGAACTATGGATGGATGGATAAATGAGAACAGTTTCCCCCCTCTCTCACAGGAATGACTGCAGATGTGTTTGTATCAGGAGATAAACTAATGCAATTACTGAAGTGTGTAAATGTCATGATCCTGTGGTATTTAGAGAAGGAAAAGGTATATGAGGTCATTCATTTTTAGAGCCTAATATGAAGAAGGAATTAATGGTTCCTTTATTTAGAGAGATTTAGAAACAGATCTTCACTCCTCTAGACAAGTCACACATCATGAATTATTGAACACTCTTTCGGTGCAAATGTCACACCGCTAGAAAACAGTTTGCCGTGTTTGTTTGGTAATTAGAATTTCATAGTGTGCTGTTCAGATATAGGAGAGCAGGAAGTAGATGGAAATTATTGTTAAAGTACAGCACACAGCTGCCACTCAAAATAAATGTCTTTATTCTGTGAAACACAAAAGTCTGTTTTATGTTCCACAGAAGGAAGAAAGTCAAACAGGCTTGGCTTGAAATTACGTAAAGGTGTATAAATAAATTTATTTTTGGGTAAAGTATCCCCCAGTTTTTATATATATATATATATATGAAGATATCTCATAAAAACCTTGTTCAGGCAGACTTGAGATACATCATAACATCATGTCTAATAATGTATTATTTTATAATGTTCTCCGAGGTTCACTTATAATGTCATCGAGACATTTTCATATCCTATTTTTGACCTTCTCTTTAAATATACTGTTTTGATGGGTGTGTGGCATTCAAGACTTTGAAGTAAATGCCTACTGCTATAATTGGGTAACAGTTTTGCAAATAAAAATAATTTTCAACTGCCCCTCTGTTACATTTTATAAACTTACATTGTTGAAAAATATCTTATTACATAGTTGAAACATTTGCCAACAATATGAACAGGGACGTGCACAGGGGGGTTGCTCAGGTTGCCCGGGCAACTGCCCATATGCCCCTCTCGACTCAGGTTGCCCTTCTGAGGAAAAAAAAAAAATCGTACAATGGATATAGAATTTCACGTAGGCCTAGACAAAAAATAATATAAAAATCGCAAAGCCTCATTCACTTCCAAAAAAAAAAAAAAAAAAAAAAATTGAAAGTCAAACTGTTTCCACGAGACCATAGACTGCACGCGACCGGTGCGTATGGTAAGGCACCGCAAATTACTCAGGCCGCGCCTCCATCTCGTGTCGTGCGCTAATTAATGTGTACGAAGTCCATGACAAAATGAAGCGAAACTATCCTTCTCGTCACGAAAAGAGGAAGAAGAAAAGCATGAGAGTGAATTGCGGGAACAGCAGTCAGGTAAACTTGTGTTCTGTCCTCTCTAGTGTCCGCAAAGTTTGATGGTTTGTCTGGGCAGGCAGTGCATCTCTTGCATCAGTTTTTGCCCGACAAAAGTGAGAGTAAAATACCATTATTTATTACGTTTTGTTTTTGATAAACGACAAAGTGCAACAACAGTGTTTGTTTACTGCAGCTCGGAAAACATAACCGCGCGTCGCGTGTGTTGCGTTCATATGCGCGTGCACGAAATGAAACTCGCATTTTTCAAGCAGAAATGTTTCAAGCAGAAATGTGGAGACCAGAGAAATGAAGGCACTTCCAATCAAAGTACACATTATAAAGACACTGATTATCTAGTCTCAGTGTAGTTAAAAACTCTAAACAACTGCACTAATTATGCAAGATATAAACCAATGTATTGGCAATTTGACATTGATTGATTGATTTATAGGCTATATTGAATTTAAAATGATGATTAGATGGACATTCTGGTCAATATGAACGCAAATCCCTCAGTAAATAACCATAAATCAAGATTTGCTTTAACATGCATAAAAAAATAAATAAATAAATAAAAATCATAGGCTACTGATTCCGAAAATACCCTGGCTGTAGAGAGAACCAAAGTTAATCCCAAAAGCCAAAGTTCAGGGTTGTACTTTATTATTTTCTTCTTGTTTATGTTTACGTTAATATTCACTTATGTGAATGTTAATGTTATCTTAACATTCTATAAAAATGCTTTATTCAGTAAATATTGTTTGTTTGAACCTCATTCTGTTCTATATTGTTGTACTTATTCTTTGACTGTTTTGTTTAAAGGAGGGAGGATTGTATTGGGCGGTACTGAGTGGCAATGGCAAATGGTTTACATGGCTCACGGCATCACAGATCAGGTAGAGGGCCCCTTAGCAGAATTTTGCTTAGGGCCCCAGGGGGAGGTCAGGATTGGCAAAAAAAAAAGAATTGTATTTTTTCCCGAAATCTAAGTGTTTTTTATTTTTTCGAGTTTTTTCCATTCAATCCAGATTATTTCTTTTCAAATAAATAAATAAATAAATAATTTAAAAAATAATAAACAACAATATGAAGAACTCTTTTGCTCATTTGTCTCATCTCTGACATTTTGCAATCTTTATAAATAATTATAATACCATAAGATGAGGCATTGCGTTTGGACATAAACACGGCCAGATAAGGCAATTTGGAAGGGGACAAATTCAACTGAATATATTCCTTCATATAGCCCGTGAGGGGGGAGGAGGGGGGGGGGTGCCCTTTTTTCAGGTCAGAGCAACTGCCCCTCAAAATTCCTGTGCACGTCCCTGAATATGAATCATTTATGCGTATTACATATAAGTCTTGGTTGTGGCAAATAAAGTTAAAGTTCTTGGAGTTACCACAGTTATTATTGACAAAGGATGACTTACAATGATTTGTGTAAATGGAATTATGAATGAATGTACCATCGTTGGTCGCACTGTCATTCTTATAGGCTATTCACAGCCCGTTCTCATCCCAAGGCGTCATCTGACAATGCATCAACATCCGATGCACATGGCACCCTTTAGCGTCAATGGGTCTAACCCTAACCCTACCCTACCCCAGACCTAAACCTACCCGCATCATCTAACTGACGCTAAAGGTTGCCATGTGTGTCGGATTTAGACGCATGGTCAAAAGCGTCAGTTTGATGACGCCCTAGGATGAGAATGCGTTGCTATTCACCGTTCAACATTTGTCATGTGCAAATGAAACGTGATATAATGGTTTGTCTTAAATCCGAAGATGTTGTTCACTAAAGCCTTTGTTCAGGATTACAGTGAATACGTCATATAACTGACGTTTTGGGACGTCTTTTGACCATACTTCAATATTCGCCTTTTTAGGGCCCCCTTAAACGTCGGTAGATGAGGTTATGGGATCCTAACTCTATCCCATACCTAAACCTAACCCTAAACCTAACCCGTCACCTAACTGACGTTAAAGGTAAAGCGTCAGTTGTATGACGGCCCGGGATCGCCATCTACCGACGTTTAAGGGGGCCCTAAAAAGGCGGATATTGACGCATGGTCAAAAGACGTCCCAAGACGTCAGTTATATGACTTTTTGGGATGAGACTGTGTTAGCATTCTCTAGGAGCTTTCTTCCATATCTGATAATCCAATGCATAGTTTACCCGATGAATGCCAAAGCAAAGGAATGAACTGCAAATCACACCTATTAAGTTTGACTGCAACACTATAGTATAACTACTCAAATGATTTGTAACAGACAAAGCAATAGTGTGAGACATAGTCAAAAAACATTGTTACACGTGTTGACTAGATCCAATATAATAGTCAAAACTGCATCCACTTTTATTTTCAGTCCCTTTGGAAGGCCTGTGTCAATGGTGTCTTGTTTAAAAACAAATCCGCAGTAAATTGAAGCGAACAAATCTGACTGGAACTTCATTTTAAATTCAACACTCTGTCATTCTTTCCACTTACTACTGAACCACAGGATTGTGGATATCATGCAAGATGCAAATGCTTTTTTGAAGAATTTAAAGGATACCTTCCATTTAGAGCCAGTGAAGAAAGCATTTGTCATGTTTTGGACATAGTCTGAGAGCAAAAAAGTGCAAATATAACACCCCAGTAAGGGTTACAACAAATGGCAAAAAAATGTCACACATTGTGAAAATACTCACGACCTCAATGTGTTTCTGGTTTTTGGAGACTCTATCTGTCTCTACATCTGTCTGTGTTTGTCTACAGATGCCCTCAACACGAGGTGCAGGCAGGTCATCTGCGCCACGCTGAAGGTTCTGCAGCACCTGGTTGTTTCAGCAGAGATGGTGGGTGAGGCGCTGGTCCCGTACTACAGACAGATCCTCCCCATTCTGAACATCTTCAAGAACATGAACAGTAAGCAACGCGTACACCTCTACAACAAATTTGGGTTGTTAGAAAACATTATATAAAATATATACACCATTCTAAAGTTTGGGGTCTGTAAGATTTTTTTTTAAAGAAATTAATACTTTTATTCTGCAAAAAATACATTGATTTCAATCAAAAGTGACAGTAGAGACATGTATGACATTCCAAAAAGATTTTTCTGTTTTATATAAATGCTGTTTCGAAATTTCTATTAATTAGATAACCCTGGAAAAAAGGTCAAATATCACAAATATTCCATAAAAATATTACGCCATTATTGGACACTGAAGACTGCAGAATTAATGACTGCAGAAAATGTAGCTTTGCCAACACATGAATTGATTAAATTTGAAAATATGTTAAAATAGAAAACAGTTATTTTAAATTGAAATAATATTTCCAAATATTACTGATATTTTTTATTAATCAAATGAATCTTTTTTTAAATCTTTTTTTGATCAAATAATATCAGAAATATATGCATTAAAAAAAACAACTTACATGCCCTGATCTTTTGTACCAAAATAATTTATTTTCACTTGATGTCACAACAGAGCTTCCTGATGTACAGTAAATGTTTCTGAAATACATAACTAAGATAATTCCAACACTACATGAATGCACCATGAGTGTGGTATAGATTTCAGGTGTGCGGTTATTGCCAGTTTTGAATATGGCTCATTCAATCTGATGTCGAAATTGTCAAAGCTTATAGTATGTTTTTTATTGACTACATTCTTTACTTTTTCTGTTGCTTTGGTTTAGCATATTTAACTTTTTTTTGTATCTGATCTGTTCACATAGAAAAACACTGGCAATTAACATTGATTTTACATTGATCCCTGAGGCCCTTGTCTTGCTAGATCAGTGCTTGTCTTTTAGGACTCAAGCCTTCAGCTCTGATCTTTAAAGCTGTTCTCAGATCAGCAGGCATCGGCACTGTTCTGAGTCACTCTTATTGAACATTCTACATCATTACTGAATGCTTATACCGACTTTTTACATGCCAATACCAATACAAGTCTACCAGTGCCTGTATTTCCATTTATTGTGTCGTTTTATTTGTCTCTCTTTGTCATCTAATGTCTGCCATCCTTTCAAATATGATTCTGTGGACTGACATGACCGTTCTGTATTCATTGTGTCCTGGTGTCGGACAAGTTCACGGTTCTTTTCACCGCCTTTGTCAGGCAGACTATGGGCCTGCCAGACATCTTCAGACGTGAGGACAAGCATTGTGGATCAATCACCGCATCACAGGCTTAACCAGCCGAAATGCTGCCACCTCATTCCTCTGATCAATATCCAATTTGAATCTTTTGTCTTCTTAATTCCGTTACATTATCTGCTAATGTTTTGTTTGAGCAAAAGAAGGAGCACTGGAGGAACAGAAAAGCTCCTCTCATTAGCTCCAGGCTCCATGCTAATCTCCTCTGGGAATTACCAGTAGGTAAAGGCTCTTAAGTGTTTAATGCCAGGTTTACAGGTACAGGTCAGGACTGGTTAGATCAAAATATCAGTTTCAGAAATCATTATGCATCTTGTCAACTTGAGAAATGAGCAGCTGCTATTTTAGTCTTTCGTTAAAGTGTAGTTAAAGGAATGCTTCACCAAAAATTCTGTCATTATTTACAAGTTGTTCCAAACCTGTTTGAATTTCTTTCTTCTGCTGAACACAAAAGAAGATATTTTGAAGAACATGGGTAACAAAACAGTTGATGGACCCCATTACCTTCCATAGTATGGGGAAAAAAATACTATGGAAGTCAATGGGGTCCATCAACTATTTGGTTTCTGACATTCTTCAAAGTATCTTCTTCAAAGTGTTCAGCAGAGAGATAAATGTTTGGAACAACCTGAGGGTGAGTACATTTATTTTTGGGTGAACTATCCCTTTAAATAGTCTGATTGTATGAGAGAGAGATTTTTCTTTTGGATTCCTCTGGGGGTAGATGCGGCGCGGGTTGTGAATATCCTGAACCGGATCACTCTTAGAGTATGTCATGGGCCACTATGTGTACTGTGTGTGTGTTTTATGCCTTGTGGCAGTGTGGCCAGAGAGAATTTGTGTCTACATAGTGGTCTTTTGTTCCCCAGGATGCAGCTGTTGGCGCTTGTGGTGTTATGTGTCCGTGTGATTCGTCCTGCTTTTTGTGCTTTTCAAATCTTTTTTTTTTTTTTTTTTTCACAAGGTCACATTTGTCCACATTTGTTGCTGTTAAATAGCCTAATATTCTGTTTAAAAGTTTGGGGGCAGTACGTTTTCTTCCTTTTTTAAATGCATTAATATTTTTCTTCAGCAAGGTTTCATTAAATTGATAGTAATAATGACTTTTATATTACTTTTCTATTTTAAAAGAAATTTTGTTCTTTTGAACTTTCTATTGATCAGTGATTCATAAATCATAAGAAATGTTTCTTAAAGGAGCTATATTCAAGAATTTTCAAATATTAATTGCTTTTTTGTATTGCCAATGTGTGACCATGCTTGTAATGAAACTTAAATTACTAGACATTCCCTGACTTCCTGAGTTGGTTATAAAAGCTTGTAGACTGATTTTTTTATGTGAAGGACTCGGGACATTTGTTGCCGGGAAAATAACATAACAGTGTTGCATTTTTAATGATCTCATCTGTTGCCGGTGAATTGCAGAGATGGTGCTAACATATCCACTGTCCTGATCAGACGCTTTCTTAACTACTGTTTTCTCACTTTCCCCATTCATAGATGCTTTTCTTTAGAGAAGTGTCTAACAGTAAATTTAAAGCATACATTTTATCAATTTGTGAATCAAACCAAATGATCTTGGCATTCTGAGCTGGACTAGGCTAAACGTTACAATTTTTGAGTGGACTATTCCTTTAAATATAAAATTAGTGGTAAATGTGTTCTAGACAGAACCCGTTAACCCCGAAGTAGTCATAAACGAACTGCTTCAGTGTGCAATTTTTCCAATGTTATTTCACTCTGTTTAAATCATTAAGAGTAAGGAGATTTAACCTCTCATAATTCAATCAATATGTAGCACTGCTTTTCCCCACTTTCTATGGCTTTTGTGGTCTCTTGAGCTTCAAATAAACTTTTTCCTGATTATAGCTGTGCTGCATTTTCGCTTGTGTGTGCACTTGAGTGAGTGTGTTTGTGTGCTCCTGTACTTGAAACTACCAAATACGCTGTAACTGTAAATGCATGCGAATCACAGATGCAGTTTACACGCTTCTCTTGTTTTCCGGCTGGGATGAGTCCTGTTGTTAATCAAACACGGTGACGTCTCATACAAGGGACAGATCTGCTCCATCATGCAGTAGATTACACACACACGCGGCAGTAACTTCATTTCCTGCCTGCTTGCCTCTGTCCAGTACACACTCCTTGAGGAGAACACACTCTCTGCTTAGCAGGACGCTTCCTGACAAATGTGTGTGAACAAATGTCCCGCTAATGATGCTTAACGACCCCGAGCTGTTCTGCCGTTAGCCCCTGTTTCACTCCTGTGCTCCGCGTGTGTGCGTGCGCGAGTCTTTTTATTGGCCTGCATTATCTTTGTGCTGTTAGTCTGCTTTCCACATTAATCTGCACCAGACCTGCTGTGATACACTCCTGTTGGTCCTATGAATCTTCTTCAACTCTAAGCGCTGACACACCCACACAGAAACATAGCCTGGCTATACCCGAGGCAGATGGAGGAATTTCTTAAGCATTTTATTTTAAAACAAAAAATATTTCTGTCCGTGGAGTGCTAGTTTTACGGGGTCAGGTGGTATTATTGTGGCGATCTGGAGATGTTATTCCTAGAGTCAGTTGTTCCTTATCACATTGTCAGTTGTGCTTTTTACCTCCACTTAACGTCTCCTCCTATTGTGCGATTGGCTCTGGAGGGCAACAATGAATGACACACAGCAACGTGGACTTTATAAGGCTACGTTCACACTGTCGAAATGTCCCATTAACACAGCAACTTATAGTAGCTTGTTAATTACTCAAAAGATGTGACAAAAATTTAAAATATAGACCAAGGGTTTTTAATGCCACAGACTCAAAGATCCACTTGCGACAAAAGCTATACATTTAAATGTATTAAAAAACATTTATACTTTAGGAAATATTATAAATATTTTCGAAATTATATCTAGAAAATATTTACATCTATTACATTGACACTGAAACTATGAGTCTAAATAAAAAAATACAAATATTTGATTAATCTCACAATTTCTGATCAGTCTTAAGAATCTTAAGAACATGTATTGAATAAAACATTTATTAAATTAGTGAAATAATTGTTTTTTCCACTCGCTTGTGTTTACAGTGTGCATGAACTTGTACACTAGAGAACATATGCTCATATTGCTACAGTATCTTTGTGCTAGTCCATGTTTTTGAGAGATTTCTTAATAAATTCTGGTTTACCACTGCTGATACGAGACCCTCATCTCCTGTAAAAGTATATTCATAAGAACATGCTTGCACAAACACAATGCAACGCAATATAACTTTCATACCCTGCTCCCTATAGGCTTGTCATTTTCCTGTCGGTGTCACACGCCTTCCTCTTATGGGGGATTTAAGCCAATCTGGCCTCCTGCAGGACTCTTAAAGCAGTGATGAATTCATCACTTCAGCCACTGCTGCCCCCAGAGAGAAGAGAACAGCTCTGCAAAGCCCATTGTACAAACGTCTCTCTCTCTGTGTCTAACATCCTTAATATGCCCTTAATGACGGTGCTTTCACACAAACAATTTTTATATCGTATTGTTTGTGTGTGTGTGTGTGTGTGTTTGTATATATACATGTATATATATATATACAGTATATATATATATATATATATATATATATATATATATATATATCAGGGTTTCCATTGTCCGGTAATCATCGGACATTGGGCGAAAAAAAAAAGTCAGACAAAATTAAATCTCTTCGGTCAAATTGTCCGATTAATTAATTGCGTAATAATCACGCCCCCCTAACACAATATGAATTTGAGAATAA